ACTATTTTTCGAAATTCCTTGACAAGCGCTCCCATCGGTCCGCGGTGACTGATTCGGCGGCAGACGCCGCAAAAATCGGTCCGAGAGCGATCGGCGCGAAGAGGGCCCTTTCGGCGGATCTCGCCGCCACCGAACCAGATTCGGAGCGCTTTCGGCGCCCGGAATGCTCAGTGTGAACGCGGCCTTAACGCGATAAGTGAGCTGATCCGTGAAGAGGCGTAAATATTTAGTGCTCGTCTAGTACTTGTTGCGGAGATGTTGTTTGGAAGACAAGTGTGACTCGAACATCACCCAAACTTTAAGAATAATCTCAAACCGACAATATTACCAGAGTATTAAAAAAAAAGACCAGCCCTAACATATTAAAATACGAGGGCCTTGGGGTGGCGACAAAAGATTACCGAGGTGCTATTGTATTCTTTGCACCAACTTAAGTAGTCGCGTCTGACTGTGCGATTAAAGAGAAATAAAAACTCCCTTACCATTAGTTCTAACCGTAGTGATGATATGTACAGAAATACACTATTAAAAGCGTGTTTCTTATTTGAACACACAAATTATTCATTGGCGTTAGTTGGAGTACATCAAAAACTAAACAATAGAATTTCGTTCAGTTTAGGACTATATGTAATAATAACCACCCTGGGGAGCATAAAACTTAGTGTAGCATATATAAAGATGGAATAATTGCGCATACTATCATTCCTTTATTGCGTCAAGAATAATTATTTCAGTGGTCAGAAGGGCTTCTATAGAAATAAGCCATGTGTGATAAGTTCTTTCAACGTGCTAAGTACATGTCGCTGGAAGCTGAACGAAAATTCTATAGTATCGTTTTCGTGCGCTCCAGACTAAACCAATAAATAAAAAAATATATATGTTCAAATAAGAACTACGATTTTAATTCTGTATGTTCGTACATATTCATCTGCTGAGGCATTTGACATAGTCATTATGTCACCCCAACGAGGCCGAACCTCAGCACTGTTGAAATTTTATTTATTTCGCGACAAATTATAGGCACCTTTTTTGTACTGTTAAACAATGTATTTTGGGAAATTTCTCACCACGTGGCTGTTACACTAATGTAAAGCTTGGTTGCGGCCGCCACAAACGCGTCCTTGCATTTCCTTCCACCTCGTCGATATGGATGCGTACTGCAACTGAATATGTTTCTTATATGCTATGCAGGGGTAGCTCCCACTTAAGTAGAGTGTACCATATGGTATGAAAACCAAGGACTCGTTTAGTTCGATTCTTTTCCTCAGTAACCACTACTTAAGAACGTTCACTCGCTGTAAAAACGCGCTAGCTCAAAAACAACGTGAGGCACGAAAAGAAATAACGTATTGAGGACAAACCGTTACGTTACCGGTAGTGGTTCTTAAGAGAGAAAGAAAGAGAAAAGTAAGTCCCGTAACTGTCTGCTTCAGCGAGCGACACCTCAACAGTAGCTCACAAGGGATGGGGGTGAGGAGGAATTAAAAGGGTAGGAGTAAAGGTGTAGAAAAGAGGAAGAGGCGTGAGGTGGTAAGCCGGAAAGAGCGATGACAAATCGAGGGGATAGGAGAGATAGGAAAGATCGAAACACGGTCACAGGAGTCCGAGCACGGGGCACCACTTGCGAGAGCTCTTGTCGGCGTCAGTAGATGGCGTAGAGCAAGTCCAGTCGGCCAGAGCTACACTGTCGTCGAAGGTCGTCGGCGGCAGGAGGTGACGTAGGGCGAGCCCAGTCGGCCAGAGCTACGCTGACGCCGGAGATCGCGAGGGCACAACCGGTCGGCACGGAATCCAGCAAGCGAGTCCTGCGCTGCAGCGCTGCTATTTGTATCCTGCTCGATTCCGCCACTGTAACCAATTCTGTAATGGCGGAATTTTAAGCCAATCAGAGAGGCCGTACTGGAGTTCTAAGCCAATCAGAGTTGAGAAGATGGTGAGTTTTGCCACTGTGGTGGAATTCGAGTGGACAAAATAAAGCTTGAAAGAGTGTATTCTTGGGCATGTTGGTGATTAATGTTCACTTTTATAGTTCACGATCCTTGTTTTTATTTTGAGCTATAATTGTAAACAAGAAGTGCACAGGATATCACCCCTCCTCTTTCGACGAAGAGAAAACACAAGTGACTACATAACTAGCAACAAATAGTTAAAATTGGAAAGAAAGAAATTACATTGCCTAACACGGAAGGAAAATCGATGAATCGAAAATAACATTGAAGTAGACACGCTTATGCGACAAACCACTGCGACGCACTTATGCTAGTACGTTCGTTGTGGAAAATCAGATATTAAACGACATTACGGTCGTATTGGTGAACAAAACTGTGATGGAAGAAGGACAGTATACGCACGCTCTAGTAGATTCGAGACCCAAAGACGCCTCACGAATGGATGCGATGCGAAAACCACCCGGGAAAAGTTTGAAGCGTGCTATTCGCTCGCTCATGGTTGGCAAAGAGGCGACCTTTCGTTGCGCTCGCCAACGTTTTGTGTGATAGCAGTGCTAAGATCCGCTTTCCCGTTGTGACAACCAGCACAGGAACTTCTTAGTAACACACTGAGTCAGGCCATACAAAAAGGGCTGAAACGCATAACTTTCTGTCATAAAGCGCCCTAGCTGTTGCGCTGCGCCGGAACACTCGGTCTATTATCACCGGAAAAGGGTATCCGGAGTTCTCCCTGTGTGCTCAGCATCTCGGCGCGTATTGCAGTGTGTGATACCGCAAGCGCTCCGTATTTAACGCGCATAAAATTACTCACGAACTCGAACTTTATGTTCAATTCGCTCGCGATCGTCTATGTGTGAACTTTCTTATCTATTTCAGTCTCAGTGGGAAGCGTCTCGGCACTATGAAGTACATTCTTACGACCTGTTTACTTTTTGTCGCGGTTGCGCTATGCCTCTCGGCTGTCCATATTTGCTCCAAAAGTCAATGTCACAGAGACGGCAGACCGGGTTTATGGTTTAACGATGGCGCCATTGCGTCTCCTTGTCTGCGCACCCCGCAACGGGTGTGTACGTACGGTCTTAACTTGTGCGCAGCGAGCGCCCAGGTAAGCCTCATCGACTGGAGGATGGCAAGAGGGAATTCTCGGCCTTATCTCGAACCGGAGATGGTCATTCATTGGGCCCCACGAAAACCAGAGGCCCCCCCGCAGGCGCTGGCTTGGTGCCCGTTAAAACTGGGGGGGCGCACCTTCTGGATACCAGCAGAAGAGAGACGCCGGACTGCTGTTCAGAGCATCGCAGCCACATCTTAGGAGGACGTAGTTTCGTTGTCTCGCCACCAAACCAAGCATCCCTGTCTTTGCGCAAGTGAGATCTTATTCTGTCATTGCTCTGTTGGATTATTTGATGTAAATGTGATGAGATATGGCAATTGTCCAGATTCTGATGGAAAATATGGGCTGATTCCGAAGGAGTGTGGTCCCACACAGCGACCCATTGCGTGATGGCCGCCGTAGTAGAATAGGGGTCTGTTTAGTGTTTTGTGTTAGCTTATAGTATTGTGCCTTCGAATGTTTATATGACTCAGTCAAACGAGAGGTATTTTATAACAAATAGCTTTGTTTGAAAGAATTGTACGCAATATTCTCAGCTGAATGTTGCTCGCTTAAAGTGTTTGACGAACCATTGACACTGGCTAACGGTGGGATAGCTCGAGTTTCTGGACATGGAATATACCATAAGTGTGACTTCACTGTTGGATTGAAAGGGAGGGTGAACCTCTACAGTGGTACAGTAATAGTCTTCAACTGCCGACTAGGTGAGCGTGGGTTTGATGCAGGGCGTGCACTTTCGGTGAAGGCGAGAGTAATAGTGACGTGTACTTAGATCAATTTATGTGCACATTCTTGTGTTTGAAATTTCCGCAGTCCTCCACTGCGGCGTGCCTCATAATCTTGATGCAGTTTTCATACGTGAAACTCCAAAAATTATTATTGTTATTATACTAAGTCACTTGATATCAACTGCCGTGTTTACTTGCATGCTACTATAGCATTCGTTCTCACTCACCAACATTGGCTACTGTGGCTAAATGATCGATGATGTCGACAGATGGGACTGTAAAATGTTGTGGCACCAACAATGTTTTTTTTTTTTCAATTCGATCTCACTTATGCATGCAGGCCCGATGTCTTACGATTGTTGTGCATTTAATACGAAAACCACCTTTTGCGGCTTAAATGATTGAGGTGCCTCTGTTTCATCAGCTTTCGGGTCTTGGTTAGGCGGGTCGCCAAAGTGATATTACAGTGAATACTAAAACAGAGGAGTGGCCAGTGAAAAAATAAACCAACAAGGTTAAGATACAATCAGCATTTCCACAGGCTTGTAAAGAATGCAACTAGCGGAACGAGTAAGCTTAGTAAATATACGTACAGTGCTTGTCAGAAGATCGAAGACCACGCTCCCTTAGAGATACATGGGACAATGGCCTTTGAACTTTTGACAGCCCCTGTACATATGAGATGGTAAATAGTGATGCGTGGAGCTTTAAATAAAATGAAATGTTGGTGCAAAAGAGGACCTTTTGTTATAGGACTAAGGAAGATGTTGAAATAACCTGTTTGAGGGCCCAACCGATTTATTGCTTATCAAATGTGCGTGAGATCGGTTTCCTGACATTTGAAAAATAAATAAAATGTGAAATTTCATGTGAATTTCAAGTAACGCGTAAAGAGGCATCAAATGCATTTAACGCATGCTTATATACGCGGATAATGGATGAACGTTTTTTGGAAATGGCTTGATTATTGCGGCTTTTACTAAACAACAGTAATCAAATATTTTAGTTAGGTATTATACACTGTCTTTGTGAAAGATGCCATGAACGGTTATTTCTCGTTTGTAAAGTGTGATTATTCCTACAGTCACATGTTGGTAAAATCGAAACGTACTTAGGTTTTCAAACGTACTAAGCCTAGGCAGGATATCCTTACCGCAGTCTTTGTTTTTGAATCAACATGATCCTGCTATTCTTGTACTTTCTAGGAAAGATAACCATGGCCCCCACTGGCACGCTGCTAGGGCTGGCGATTGTATCAGCCATTTCGGTTCCATCCTTGGCCGCTAGCTTCGGCACAGGCTACGCCATGTCGCCGGTAGGGGCGCCCTTCTCGGGCGGAGCCCCTGCAGGCGGCGCTGCGGGGCCAGCGTTCGGGCCTCCCGGAGGCTCAGCTTTCGGACCTCCCGGTGGCTCAGGGTTCCCTGGATTCCCGGGTGCCGGCGGTGGCGCTGTTCCCGGAATGACCATGCCGTCCGATCCCAGTTGCCCTCCGACCAACGGCATGGTTCCGCTGTACGTGCCCGATCCCGACGACTGCACTAAGTACACGGTGTGCAGCGGCGGCTTCGGCATGCAGCTCGACTGCCCGCCGGGGCTGCACTTCAACCGCAACTCTAACCATTGTGACTATCCGCCGATTGCAGGCTGCGAAGAAAGTGAGTAATGTTGAATGGAGGAGGAGAAGAGGAAAAACGGAAGGAATGGGGAGGTTAGAGCGTTGAATGGCCTTGTGGCTCTGTAACAAATTTGGCAACACTTCGCGTGGTTACCATCGTAGACTAGCTAACATCGCAACAGGGCTATAAATGCGGACAGAAAGAAGGAAAGGACGCGGCACTGCACTCGCTACTAAATTTATTTTTGGAAAAGCAAAGAACGTATACAGATATCTATAAGTCATCGAAACTGCGCATATGTGTTGCAATTTCAGTGGCATATTATTGTTCATTATTTTTTCAAAAATAAGTTTACTGGTGAGTTACGGCGCTCTGTCTTTTTCTACAGTTTTCTTCAGTAAATCTTCTTTTGGGCCTAGTTGGTTCACAATCCTACAAGTACTTTTAAATTTAAAGACACGCCACAAATAAAGAGATGACAAACACAAGCGCTGACTATCAGTCAACCTGTCAGTTGATAGTCAGCGCTTGTGTGCGTCCTCTCTTTCTTTGTGGCGTGTCTTTAAGGTCACGCTGTAAAAGTACTTATAGTTCTCCTCTTCTTTCTGTCCGCGTTTATAACCTTGTTGCACTGTCACTTATTCTGCGATGAACATCCACCAACCAGCCTTACGAGCCATACTGCTTTGCATGACGGCATTTGCTGATGCTGTTTCTTCGCATAACGATGCTTGATTTGACCCTCCCCCCCGACTTTCATTGGACGGTTCTCACGTCCGGTTAACTGCCGATGCAGGACTCGGGAAACACTCTGACCGTAGGCGCGCGCGCAAAGGGGGGGGGGGGGAGGAGATAGTCCACCATACTCTGAATCTCTTAGGTGGGTGCCCAGTTTGGCCCACCTATTCACTAAGTCGCACCTGTACCAGCATTCTTGAAGGGAGGGTTGAGATTCCACAGGCTTCTGACTGTAACGGCGACCGTGGTCCCCTGATGTTGCATAAGAAGAATTGCTCACTTCAGAACATCACCCCAGATAGCCGAGGACCAAAGTGAGACCGTTGTGAGAAGCGCATTCATTGCTCTTTTTGCATCAATCGCCAAGCTTGCTTTATTTTGGATTCGACCAAAAGAAGAGACAGAGAGAGAAAAGAGGGTGACTGCGTCACATTTCCCTAACCCTCCTTATGGATAACTTTGCACACGCATATGGATCCAATGTCCATCCCAGAAACTACGTTAACAAATGTATTGCAATTCGGCAAGCCAATCCCAGTGCTCGTGTGCGATGTGAACTCGGGCAAGTCATTTAACACTGTCTGTAACGGGGACGGATCGTGGAAGTGGTGTAACGTGAAGAGCACCCATTATTTTTATAGTAAGTATAAGTAGAGTAAAACCAATATATCTTTCCTCGGTACATATATATTTCAGCACGTAAATAGCGAAGCTATCGCTGGACATTAAGAAACGTTTTTTTTTTTGTCAGTTCCACCTGAAGATCCAACAACTCTGACAGGACCACCTGGGATCAAGAAGGATGCTTATTTCGGTAAGGATGACCTGTGTAAACTGTGAGAGTCCATGCACACACTGCGCGATTCTTTCTGTTTGATTTTAGTCTTTCCTTATACGTGTGCATATCTTTAATCAACAGATTCGGTCAGAGCCGTCTTTTAGCAAGTCATCGGTCCTTACGTGACGAAAATATGAGCCGGCCGACATTCAGTACTGAATGTTGCCTGCTTCAGAACAAGAATCACTTTATTCATTCAATAAATGACCGTAACTACATAAATAGTATATACAGAAGAAGGTCCCACTTTCATACTGAGCACGATGACTGGAATTTTTATAACGAACAGTAATTGCATCATATTTAGCAATAATAAGATCAATTATAAAAAATAGCATAACTGAACATAAAATAACAGTTAAATGTGTGAGTGATCCAGAAAGGTCACTCGATCCTGCAGTGATACGGAGGTAAAATTTTTCAAAGCAAACTAGAAGTGTGGAAAACAAATAGAAAGATACACAAGTGATAGCGAAAGAAGAAACGTATGGGAATGATGAAGGTGATTCTGACGAACAGAAAAGAAAGCTATTCAGTTCATCTGAAACCTATGAGCTTTCAGCATTTTTAAAGTGAATGGTGGCGTGTTTCAGAGCGATAATGCTGAAAAGTGCAATTACTTTGTCGCAGTTGATAATAGTTCTCAGTTAAGCAAAAATCTTTGGCAAATCTATTCCCGTTAGTATGAATCAAGTAAGTTTATGTAAAGATGGGCTACTTTCAGATATGAGCCTCCTGAGTGGACCTGGCTTCCCGATGATTTTCGGACAGCCTAATCCGGGAATCGGTCAACTGAAGAATCCACCTGGCAAGCCTAAGACTCCCGCTGCATAGGAATCGCTACAGCCATGCTTAAATGCGCAATGGCTTGCTGTAACCGCACGGACATTGAACATGAAGAGAAGGCTACAACAGTGAAGGCCAGCACAATGATTTTCATCTCGAGTATTTCAGGTGTTGCGGTATCCCCGAGCTCTAACTGAAAAGCTCGATCCAGTCATCGTCATCATGGGCTGATGCCCTAAAATAAATTTGTGCCAATTTTATTTCGACTTTGTCGTCTCTCCGGTGCCATTTTGCGTTCAACAGTTCATTCACGGAGTAGCACAGCATAGAGCTTTTCATTGAATTCAGTAATTTAAATTTGGTTCTTCGTGGGATTGGTAGCAACATGACAGTGAAACAGGAAGGGGTAGCTCGATCGTGAATAAAGTCTGAGCCACTACAGCAGGTGCTGCTAGTGCATGGGCCGCCACACGTTTTTTCCCAAGCATCTCAACCCTACAAATAATCCAGTCACAGAACATATCGGAAAACAGCGGAGACCAGCAGCTCTACTGTCTTTACCGATTTCAGACTTCAATTAAACTGCCGTCGGTTAGTTTTTCAACGCCAGTTGATAGGGTATGGAAGGTGTTAAAATCATGAGGTTTTGTCCTGTTGATTTTCCATTTTATAGGAATGAAATTAAAAAAAAACGCTGTCGGCTGTCTTTATGTCCCGGTGGCTTTGGCAACTGCTGCATGCAGCTTCGCGTCATATTCCCCAGGTGTCGTTAAATGTCTGCATCACGATGCGCCTCCTCAAGTACAGGGTACGTGGCCGTATCGCAGACCATGGCCGCCAGCGTGCGATCTCGAAGGCCATGGTGCGGCAGAGGCAGTTGCAACTTAAAAATGAAAGATCAAAGCGAGGTGCTAGCGCTCCTCGTTAACCCCGAACCAAGAGTCGTGCCGTCACGTCCATGTATTTGCATGACAACGACCATGACAACTATGCAACCACAAATGAGGGTGCTACATAATAGTTCAGCAGCGTCACATGTGCGAAAATATTTGTATGTATATAGTCTTTTTAGCAAGTTTTTGTATAAGAATGAGTAAAAGACATCTTTTTTTACCGTCAAAGAAGCCGCAGTGGACGTAAATTACTTTTCTATTCCCTCTTTCGAGCTTCTCGAAAATTTTCTTACCGCTGGCTTTTGTAAGAATCAGCATGGCGTCACGAAAAACTTGTTTCTTGCGAGCCCGGAAAACACATATGCGAGAAACGACCTGAAAAGAACCGTTATAAGCCGCTTTCCTGAAAACCATTTCATGGTTAAAAAACACTGGCTGTCTCTACAAAGTGTGCATTTGTGTGCTTTGGAAGTTGAAATATGATTTGTCGCCTGCTTAGGTTTAAGCTTTCATAATCCCTGGGCGTCGTTCATTGGCTGCTTGGTCGGAGATTTGATTGTCATATCTTCAAGCCATCCCAAAATGAAGAGGATGGTGGATGTGACCTGGCCGCTGTGGCCTGGAGATTAAGGTGCTCAAAGGTGGAGGGATTGAATCCCGGCCACGGCGGCAGCATTGTGATGGAGACTAAATGCGAAAGGCTCATGTACACAACTTTAGGAGCCCGGCATCATCCATTAAAAAATCCCAGGTTGACAAAAGTTCCTGAGCCCTCCACTACGACGTTCCTCATAATGGAATGGAATGAAAAATCTTTATTTCTGTCCTGCAAGACGCACTTAGCGCTTAGCGGGCGTCTCCCACGTAGGGACCGACAGGGAGTACCTGGCGGCCGCTTCGTGGGCCTGCTGGACGGCACCGTTCCTCATATTCATATCGTACTTTTGCTGCGTAAGATTCCAATAATTATTATATGAGGATAGCTGGCTTTTCCTGTGCATTTTCGCGAGTCTACACAAAAATTTATTTATCTCTATTTATTTTTGAACCCCGGAGTTCGCCTTTACGAAGCACCAGCGTCGCGTGGAACACGCAACACATGTCTCCTCGTCAGCTGGATGGGAGGTCTGAGCCTATTGTGACCCCGCTTAGAGCATTCACTGCAAGTGCTGTTGCAAACTACCAACTTCGCCGTAATCCAAGCCGGGAGTCACACAGAGGCCCGTACCCCCCCCCCCCCCCTCCTGAATTTTACCTTTTTTTTACTTTGACATCAGATCACAAAAGGACCATGGACCACATCCGTCTACCCGTCCCCATTTTAAATCAAGGAGATAGCTCCCCCCCCCCCCCACCACCTGGCGACAAAAATTCCGCCACGCCCCCAAAAATAGTGAATTATCCGCCATACGAGTGTAAAGCAACTGGTGCCCCTTCATAGCTGTTCACGTTGCTGATGCATTACAAATAAATTAGCTCTTTGTAATGAATGGAAAGCTTTCAACAGTCGACTCGTCCTTACTCGGTTTCTTTGGTCTGACGCCTGTGGCGATTCAACGATCCTTCCCCGAAATTGTATGTCGGTTAACGCGACTCATCGCCCCACGTAACGCCTGTGTAGGGTCTCTTTTTCCGAAGCAGTTCGAAGTGACCGCTTTGAGTTCTATCCGGACTGGTATCTGCCGTTTATGAAATCTAGTGAATTATTGCCCGTTTAGAGAAGTCTTCCTTGAAGATTGTTTTCCGTAAGGCTTACTGTCCCTGGTAAAGACAACCATGGTTTTTTGTTCGCTTTGCGCACACATTATTTCGCTCATAACGAAAACCATGAAAGAGAGAAAGCAGTGGTTCTCTGACAGAATACTTGCCAGCCGCGCAAAATGCGGCGTTCGATTCCGAATCAATGCCCCCACCCCCTATTTTTCCTTTTGTAGTTTTTTTTCTTTTTCTCTTTGCGCCCGGTAGCGGTGACTGACAACGGCGGCAGCAGTGGCAGTGGCGGATGACATCGCCACCAAAATAAATCAATTATGTGATCTCACGATAGCTTCCACTGCCAAAAAGAATAAATACATAACCAAACGATCATAGCCAAAACTGCGTGACCACGGAACGGTAGCCCCTTTATTTTGCAGGCTTTCGCGTTATTACAGGTGCACACATTTTGCCCAGGCTTAAATTTCTGTTTTAAGAACAAAAATCAACAGTTCTCATCTCCGATGACAGTCCTCTTCATTGACAACCTCCACCTGTGTCGAACAATAAGCCGGAACCGTTCCGGCTGGAACAAGTTGTTATCTATGCCCAGCTCCTCTGGGTTCATTATTCTTCTCTTACTTATAACTCTCTCGATGCTTATGTGTGTCAAATAACAGCCAATGATAGTAAGTAACTCTGTTCTTGGCAAACCCGGACACTCCAGATATCTTGAAAATGACAGCGCCTTCATTAGCAGCCTTCATTGCACAGACCGGTGACATTTGAACGAGAAAAAAAAAAAAAAAACACAGCACGGGCATGCTGCGTGGGGTGTGGTGTTCGACCTCGACTCCGTCATTGTTTTTGTTTGTTTGTTTTTTCACATTGTTTCCCGAAACAAGAGGCCCAGCCAGCGAGCCAACAAGTTCACCTTATTAACGTGATTGCGTTAAATAGCTCGGTTCGCCGCAATGTCGGTGTCATAGTGTGTGTCGGTGTTGTGGAGCACCAAATCCGCGTTGTCCGTGACCGAAATATCAGGCTAAAAAATAACGCATTCAACAAAAATATTGGTTCGAGTGAGATTTGAACCTAAGCCATCTAAGCGGTATACAGGTGTTCTAGCACCGAGCCTCGTGTTTGATTAAACTGCTTCGACAACATAGAAAGAAAACACAGAAAATGAATGTCAGATATTGGAAGGAGTCTCGTTGATGCGTGTAATTCTGCATGGCAGAAGCGTAGAAGTGCGTAAGGCGTCTAAACACGTGACAATGAGTGGGTGTTTCAACGGCCCACCAATTGCAAAATGCGGAGGCATGTTTAATCTATCGTCAGCAGAGAAGGCATCAACAAGGTGAGCGGCTGTGTATAGCCTCGCTTGTTGCCTTACGGCGACGTATAGCGAGCCTTCGCTGATTATTCTTCCTTCGCAATATGAGGAATTATGACATAGTGGAAACTCCGCAACCTTACTTGCAGTAGGCGTTCCGAAATTCTTCGAAACTGTACAATGCTATATGCGCATATATGCGTTTGCTTTCTTGCGGCATGGTTCAGGCATACTCGGGAAACCGAAGCCAGGCTACCAAGTGACAAGGCGAAGCTCAAGTGTCCCCCAGGTTTTAAAAAAAATGGCAGCATATTCACGGAGTGAATGATGGAGAGTGGGGCGAAGAATTCGTCCGTCCATTCGTTCTTGCTTCCGTCCGTCCATGCGTCTGTCAGTGTGACCGTCCATGCGTCCATCAGCCCGTCCGTGCGTGCGTCTGTTTGTGCATCCGTCTCTGCGTTCGTCCATGCAGCCGCCCATGCGTCCGTTCATGCGTCCATCCATGCATCTGTCTATGTGTCCGTTCTTCCATCTATTCAACACTCCAAGTACCACCATCGCGCATCTTTTCATCATATATTCCCCATATAGAAGCACCGCCATCCAGCAGACATTACAAGGACTAAACTAGAGGTGGCACACGCACACTTTCTTACGGCTTGCGCTTCGGGTCCACTTCCCACCTTTAACCACCTCGAGTTCATAATATATACTAGTTCACTGTATTCATGGCACTGCGGCTCAACGCTCGCTAAACCTTTCTAAAGCTAAGGAGGTTACACCCAGCGAGTATAACGTAGCAACCCTTGCTTGTCAGATAGTGCTCAATGTACATGCCAATGGCTGCTAATGGTGATCGCAGCCTGCGCGTTAACTAAAAGCCGAATGCTCCTGTCTCTCATTCCCCATTAGCAGCCATTGACATGTACATTGAGCACCATTTTTTATTGTTCAACAACGCACAGAAGAAGTCTCTCACCGGCACTACCTTGGAGGTCAAAATGTTATACTTGATACATACTACGGGGGACGGATGGGTGCCGCTATATGGAGCTTCGCCCCTAAAAGTGAGTGAACGTAGCATAAATAAAAAAGTCGCAGCTTTGCTGCAAAGGCGAAGCAATGAACGCGATAGCAACAATTTGAAAGGTCACGCGTGAAATGAAAAGCAGATCGAGAAGTGGCTTGCGTTTCTCGCGCACAAATTACGCACAAAACGTCCTCACAGGTACGGATGCACGCGAATAAGAGTTTCATTTGTTACTTCGCTGAGTCTGAAAAGCGCGCGCTTTTAGCGAACGGAGACCGCAATGATTTCAGTGACCTTTGTGCGCCCGGTAACTACAGCAGAATCGCTCCACGTAAAGCCCAAGGCCAGCCAAGGCGTACGATCCTCCCCTCCTCGCCACCGCGAGATAAGGGCGCGCGAGGGAGCGTAGCTCCCCTTCTCTAAGCCGGGCAAATTACGCGTAGGAGATTAGAGAGGGCGCTGCTGCGCGACGTGGCGACGTGTGCTCATTGCGCCATCTTTCTGGTAATGCCGAAAACACAGCAGCGGTAAGTGGTAGATATAAATAGCTTGCCGTACGTTTTCCGGGGTGCCTCAGTGGTTAACGCCTCGCTTTCGTGACGCAGATGTCCCTCGTTCGATTCCACGCGCCAGAGTGCTTTTTCCTGCATTTTTTTCTTTCTTGCGTTTTCATTTAGATACGTATACATATACGGTGCATGACATCGACGCTGACGCCGGCGGCAAAATCCTGCTGAGAGTGTCCACATAATTGCTATCGCAATAAAAAAAAACTGTCCACCAAAGCCGTATGTCACTGGTGCAGCCAAGTGGCGAGGGGGGTAGGGTGGAGGCTTGAGCTCTCCCCAATTTTT